TTCCTGCTTTCCAACACTTCTATATCAGTTTTCACATTTATCTGCCATTTTGATCAGTGTCTTTTCAGATTAATTTTCATAGATTTCACAGACATTAGGGCTGGAAGGGACCTCGGAAGATCATCAAGTCTAGCCCCCTGCCCCAGAGGCAGGAAGTCAGCTGGGGTCATAGGATCCCAGCAAGATAAGCATCCAAATTTCTCTTGAAGGTGTTCAACGTAGGCGCTTGAACCACCTCTGGTGGCAGGCTGTTCCAGACCTTGGGGGCTCAGACAGTAAAGAAGTTCTTCCTTATGTCCAGTCTGAAACAGTCCTGGAGGAGCTTGTGACCGTTCGACCTTGTCATCTCTTGGGGCGCTCTGGTGAACAAACGTAATGATGTCTGTCTGTTTCTTTTCCTTCGTTTTCTTTTTTCTTTTTCTTTTTCTTGAAAGGATAAGTTACAATAAGCTGACTGAAAAATCTGGAAGAATCCTGCAAAGAGTCCTTGAATACCCCAACTGTGCCATGCAATACCTCTCGTGAGTATTTCCTTGTCCCTGGGGAGGAGAGGGGAGCTCCTATTTTAATATTAAGCAGAGTTTACATATGCATAGCATGTAAAAGTTTTGCTGACACCTTTTGAAGGGAGGACCATCTCCTTGGAGGAAAGATGTGTGCCCCCCTCCCCTTCACTCTCTCATCTTAATACCAGTTTGAAAAGTACTGCTTAGGTGACCACCCATCTGTGCAAAAGCAGCACAGGGCTGCAGTGTGGCTTTTATGGCAGGCTGTGGAAGAGAAGTGCTGTTTCATAAAAGAGGAAAGTGGAAGCTATAAGGCTTTTGTTATAAGAGGAAATGTGGAAAATGTTTAGGAAGAGAGGCAGGGAAAGGATTAACCGTTTGGATGCAAGAAAGGGCAGGAGGAAAGAGTAAGAGTAAAACTTAAGGAAAACCTGTTCTAAGAAAACGTTGTAACCTGATCTCAGAGTGCCTGAGGTCATGCTGTGGTTTGTTTAGGTTAAGTGCAATAACTTTTATTGCTGGTCCAATAAGAAGTCAGTAGCAGAGAAAATTAACCCCTGTGCTAAAAACTGTGCAAATGTACAGAAGTAGAGCCTAAGGAGCCCAATGAGAGAGCAGCTTTACAAAGATTAAGGTGTTGGTGCAACACAGAGGGTGTGAGCAGTGTGGTTTGTTTTGTGTGCAAGGTAGAGAGGGCTGTTGAAAGTGTAAGTGTGGGCACCCTCATTGGTAACAGGGAGTGGGAAAGGAAAGGTAAGAAATGTTCTTGCTACTAGGAATAATATGGAAGTCCTAGAAGGGAAAGTGTTAACAGCTTGTTAAGGCAAGAAAAAAAAGGTGTTTGTGAAAACTCAGTGTCAGCTATTAAGGCTCTTGCTGTAATTGCTAGTGTTAATCAGGACAAGCAAATAAAGGCACTTCTTCAGGTGCAGACTGTGGCAGAAGGCCACCTCTGTTTCTCCCCCAAAACTCGGCTCTGACAATTTGGTTAAGATGGGCCCAGCAGAGGATGCACACCTTATCCTATCTCTTTAGGTAACCTGAGCTGGAGACATTCCTGAGGGACCAGCCCTGGGTGGTGGCAGCTCTACCCCCAGGCTCGCGGGTGTGCTCCAGGAAGGGGGTCGGCCAGATGTGAGGCGCCCCCCGGGGAGGCACTCCGAGCCTAGAAAGTGGTCAGGTGCAGTGAGGTGGGTGGCTCAGCGCAGGAGCACCCCCTACTGGCCTGCCACACAGCCAAAAAGAGGTAAAGATACAAGCATGTATCTTGAATGAAGAATCAAACCCCACCCGTTATAACATAATCAGTAATGTTATTTTATTATTCTCAATTTACCGTTTTTAAATTGGGAAGTATGTGCCCACTTACCCTTTTCTTCCTTATCAATTTGGACCACCATAGAACTACTTTTGTTGATAATAAGATATGGTCCTGTCCACTTAGATTCAAAGGCGTGTGCCTTTGGAGTGAGTTTGTTTCATGTTCACCTTATATTCCAAGGACTGGGACATCCTTCCAGTCCAAACTGAACACAAGTGTCCAGGTCTGGCATCCACAGACAACTTTAATTTTCAAATGGTGTATTCCCAATAATTTTAACACATCTTTATGATAGTTATATGCCTCTAAACATTTGACAATTTGAAACAAACTAAACAAACAAACAAAAACTATATAACAAGACAACATAAAACAGACAAAATGATTATTATTATAATAAAAGCCATGGCTTGGGTAAAGAAGACGCTGTTGATCTTGCCTCGATCCTGGGGAAACTCTTTGAGAAGATTATCAAGGAGCAGATCTGTGACGGGCCGGCATCGGGGATGATGCTCAAGGGCAACCAGCACGGTTTCATTAGGGACAGGTCATGTCAGACCAACCTGATTGCCTTCTACGATCAGGTGACAAAAGCATTGGGTGCAGGTGTGGCCGTGGATGTAGTCTTTCTGGACTTCAGCAAGGCCTTTGACACTGTCTCCCACCCCATCCTCATTAAAAAGTAGGCGACTGTGGCATCGATGCCTACACAGTCAGATGGGTTGCTAACTGGCTGAAGGGTCGTACTCAGAGGGTCGTGGTGGACGGGTCATATCTGACCTCGGGGGAAGTGGGCAGCGGAGTCCCCCAGGGCTCGGTCCTTGGGCCCGCGCTGTTCAATGTCTTTATCAGAGATTTGGACGACGAGGTGAAAAGCAACCTGTTCAAACTGGCTGATGATACCAAAATTTGGGGTGAGGTGGGCACGCTAGCAGGGAGAGAAAGAGTGCAGCAAGACCTGGATAGGTTGCAGGGGTGGGCTAACAAAAACAGGATGCGTTTCAATACAGACAAGTGCAGGGTGCTGCACATGGGCAGTAGTAACCAGCAGCACACTTATAAGATGGGAAACTCCCTTCTTGGGAGCACGGAGGCAGAAAGGGATCTCGGAGTCATCATTGACTCCAAGATGAACATGGGCCGACAATGCGAGGTCACGGTCGGCAGGGCTAACCGGACCTTATCGTGCATCCACAGGTGCATGTCAAGTAGGGCCAAGGAGGTGATCCTCCCCCTCTACGTGACACTGGTCAGGCCGCAGCTGGAGTACTGTGTCCAGTTCTGGGCACCCCACTTCAAGAGGGATGTGGACAACATTGAGAGGGTCCAGAGGAGGCCACCTGCATGATCCGGGGACAGCAGGGCAGACCCTACAACGAGAGGCGACGGGACCTGAACCTGTTCAGCCTTCACAAGAGAATGCTTAGGGGGGACCTGGTGACCATCTATAAACTCACTAGGGGGGACCAGAAGGGTTTGGGGGAGACCTTGTTTCCCCTAGCGCCCCCCAGGAAAACGAGGAATAACGGCCAAAAGTTGTTGGAGAGTAGGTTCAGATTAGACATCCGTAGGAATTACTTCACAGTCAGGGCGGCTAGGATCTGGAACCAGCTTCCAAGGGAAGTGGTGCTGGCTCCTACCCTGGGGGGCTTTAAGAAGCGGCTCGATGCCTACCTGGCTGGGGTCACTTGAGCCCAGTTTTCCTCCTGTCCGGGCAGGGGGTCGGACCTGAAGATCTACCAGGTCCCTTCCGACCCGACTTCTAGGAGTCTATGATGGTAGTGACATCTGCGGTCTATCAGTCACCTGTATTCCCAGATTGAATTTTACGCTATAGCTTCTGCAAAAGAAAAGCAAATGCACACAAACCTGCCCAACAAAATTCCTTGCAGTAAAATATTACAGTGGCAATGTATACATCATTGTAGTTCTTGGGGTGTGGTTTTTTATGTACATATTAAATGGCAAGGATCATCCCACATTTATTTTATTGTTTTAATGGTCTTGCACTATTTTGGTAATTGGACTTGGGATCCTTACAATTTTTTTTGGTTACATGTGTGATCAAGGGGTGCCAATACCCTTGTTGTAATTTAACCAGATTATTATTTCAAAAATGAATTTTTTCTTTTAGAGGAACAGTTTCTCCCTCAAAATTTTACTTAAACTTTTTCTACATTTTTTTTGTGGGAGATTGTAATTTTTTTAAAGATGTTTGGATAAAACCATATTATTGTTCTCATGAATATAAATTTCAAATTATACCAGCACCTTTGTGCCAAGGAAATAAGCAAAAATACCCCGACATTAGCTAAATTTAATACTAAAAATAATTGTACTCCTCCTGCTATAGGTGTTGGAGTTTCAGAGAGTTTTGCTGTACCAGGAGCTACAACGGTTGTTACTACATTCAAAGCTCTGAAGTTTATTGTTCAATTTTAGGTTTTTCCCTTTGTTTTCAGAATAGACCAAATCCCAAATCAGGGACTTTCACACCCTAAGCATTTGTACGATCACTCCCCGATTTAAACTATTTATTATGAGTTATAATTTTATTTTAGCTTCTAGTGCATATTTACACTGCCTTTATTGGGCGGGTGGAGTTTGATTATTATTCTACAGGAACAGGCACTGACACTGCAGGAGTATCCAGAAAGCAATAGAGCCTGTCAGAAGAATTAGGCGGCCTCTTAATCATAATTTGCATGGCTTGCTTTTGCTTTTTTGTTGTTTTTTGGGGTTTTTTGCTTCATTTTGCATGGCTTGCTTGCTTTTGTTTGTTGTCATGAATGCCAACATTTATGATTTGTTTTAGGATCTTAAGCTCGAGCAAAGACACAAAGATAACAGAATTAAAAGAACCGCTAACTGTTATTAAAATTAATCATAAAAATGAATGCTACCAAAAATCACTCTAAGTGTGTTCAGGCCTGAACCAGGGTCTATTATTTCAAAATAATTTAGGTTCATTTCCAAAGCCTTGTATTCTAGATGTGTTCGCTTAACACCCTCAAGTTGGAAAATAAAATGGGACATCATAGTATTGACATCCCCTGCAATTCTACTCTGGGCAAACTCTTGCATTAGTTAGATCAACCTACAAAAGAAAATGTTGAAATTTTGGCTAAGTTAAGTGTTTCACCTATTAAGAGTTCAGGGAAAAATTGAGAATGATTTGGCTAAGGCTCTTCTAACTATGCAAGGCAATGCATCTACAGCCCTCATGCGTATTTAAGCTCAAATGTGGTACTTAGCTGAAATTAAAGGGATTATAATGCAGGATATAGATGGGATGTAAATGGGCAGGTTCCAGTTGAATTGTGGCAGCTGCTTTGTAGTCCAGAAGAATGGCTTCACCCTTATAATCAACTTCTCAACTTCCATTCAATCCCAATACACTGCACATTGAGGTAGAAGTGTCAGCCCTACCAGCCACACTTAAACAAAAGGTGTTTCTGATTTATACCCTAGGAAGCAAAGTTCAGGTCAGTTATGTGAAGAATATGTGTTACAACCCAATGATTTGTGTTTTGATCCTGATTTTATAGTATGTAACTATTTGTTGTATAATAATCTTTATAAGAAGTCACTGATAATAGGTGTAGGATATAGATATGCTTATTTTAAAAATGGTGCTTGTAGTTCTATATTAACCAATAGTGTTATCTTAATGTAACCGATTTAGCTGTCAATGTTTATTTGTATAATGTTTTATATGACATTAATTATAAAAAAGGGAGAGTAAACCAGAGCTTTACCATCAATTATGAACTATTTGGAAAAAGTAGATTTATACGCAATGCACTTAGAAATCTCAGCAGAGGTTCTCTGCCACATGACACAACATCCAAAATTAGTGCATGCTATAAATGCCATGCAGGGGAAAAGCTATACAAACCTACATCATAGTGCAAGCCAACTCCAAACACATAACCAAGGCAAAGAAAATAAGATATCACAACTGGTGGGAAAGCCCTGTTCAGCTGGGCACTATCAGGCAATGAGATATTCAAATTAATGTTATATTCAGTAATAATTTTGTATATCACATTCATATTATTAACCTTAATAATAATTATTTTATATTGCATATAAAAATTACAGCAACTAAAGAGTGACATCACGTGCTAAATATGTGATACCCTAAATGATAGGGTTGAGAAGGCTGAGAATATTGTGAAAAAGTCATTTTAGATGAATGCATGAGCGAGTGAATGAATATGGTGAAGCGGGCTCACCTTTCAGAGCTCGCGTGGAGTCCCAGGCTTGAGATCCTGCTGTTTTGATTGGTGGAGCCCATCCATCCACCAATCAGGAGGCAGCAAGGGAAATAAAGTCACGCCCCTTTCCTGAGGGGAGGGGGGAGAAGAGCTCTCCCGGACCTGATTGAAGACTGCAAACTGTCAGGTTGGGAATACTTTGGGGGCGGAGCCTGGAGCGTGTAAAAGGAGCAGCGCGCCCAGCCCGGGTGGGGGCAGATGTGTCGGGGACAGAGAAGAGCGGGGCTTAGCCGAGCCGAGGAGAGCTGCTCAGCGAGGTGAAGCAGTAGCCCAGGAAGAGCCCCTGAAGACTTCCCTTAGCGGGGAACGGCGGGTGGCTCCAGCAGCTAGGCTCTTGTCATGCAGCACGGCGCACAGACCCTGGGAGCTGTGTGAGGTGGCTCGGACATGTGGCCAGAGACACGATGCACAGGCTGGTATACAGAGCAGGATCTTTGGAGCCCCTGGGGCGACTCGGGTCCTCAGCCCCCAGAACGAGGCTGGGAGCTCAGTGCAGGAGGTGCTGCGTGGAGGGTGAGAGACCCTGGGAGCTGCTTGGGGTGGGGGGTGGCTGGGGTCTCCGGCTGCTGACACGGGACAGCAGCTCAGTGCAGACGACACAGCCCAGAGGGTCCAGGGACAGACCAAGCCCCGGTGCTGCACAAGGCTGTCCAGGCCTCCAACCCTGAGCACAAGGCGAAGTGCCCACTACACCCAGCGGTGCATGTGGCCCTAAGCCAGGATGGTGGCAGCAGAGTCAGGCAGCAGGAAAACCAGAGCTCGACCTGGAGAACAAGAGGCAGTCCTCCAGGACTGCGGAGTAGTAAGTTACCCTGGAGAGGCAGCAAAGGGGCACCACGTGGGCCACTCCTGGGAGCTCAGGAGTCTTGGGGGTCTTCCTCTCCTTTTTCTTTCCCCCCATCTCCTTTCCTGTAGTGGTACCTTGGGAGTGGGGCCTTTGCCCTGGAGGGCACCCAGGTAGTCTAAGGACTGCTGATTGTATTTGTGGACTGTGCCTTACAGTTTATGTGAATAATTTGAAGTAATAGTTTGTATATGAATAGAGTTATAAGGTTGTCCAATCAGTATTCTGGTTTGTTCTGTTGTTCATCTGTATTTTAAATGATAACTGGGTGCGTGCATGCGTGTGTGCATATATGTGCGTGCACACACACATATATATACACGCACACACATATATATTTATATATACACACACACATATATATTTATATATACACACACACATATATATTTATATATACACACACACATATATATTTATATATACACACACACACATCAAACCAAACAGACCATCTACAAGAAGATAAGGAGCAAGCAGACACCTTGTCTCCCCTGTCTCAGGATGTTGTAAATCAAAGTATCTCCTTTCCATCCATCTTACCATCTGCATGTCTAAGCCTTACCATCCATCTGCACGTCTAAGCCATGAGGTATGTGACTAAAGCCAGATCAACAGCAACAAGGTATCCCACCCCATACTGGTGAACAAGTTAAGAGGCTGTGACTTGGATGACTACACAGTCCGGTGGGTGGCGAATTGGCTGGAGGGTCGCGCCCAGAGAGTCGTGGTGGATGGGTCGGTCTCGACCTGGAAGGGTGTGGGCAGTGGGGTCCCGCAGGGCTCGGTCCTTGGACCGATACTCTTCAATGTCTTCATCAGGGACTTGGACGAGGGAGTGAAGTGTACTCTGTCCAAGTTTGCAGATGACACAAAGCCATGGGGAGAAGTGGACACGCCGGAGGGCAGGGAACAGCTGCAAGCAGCTTGCAAGCAGTTGGACAAGTGGGCAGAAAACAACAGAATGCAGTTCAACAAGGAGAAATGCAAAGTGCTG